TTAGAACCTTCAGAGGTACATTCATATAATTAATTCATTCATATATTCATTTGTATAATTCCCTTAGCACTCTTTTAAAACCTCCCAGCTTTTCCGCCCAGTTTCACTCAAAACGAAACTACTCTGCGTGCTGTGCGCACGTGAGACTGTTACTTAAAACTGTGCTTTATGCTGGACAGTATTTATTTATCACGAGTTGTTCAAATCCCGGTAATCTAATACGGTTTTAATGATAATTAAAAGATGAAACGGTAATACTAACCGTGGGGAATTTTATCATGATTTATCATCAAACCGGTAATCGTTACATCCCTAGCTAGTATATCATTAATAAAGTTATATTTTATTAATTTTTTATTAATGTATAATATTATTGGTGATTATATGACAGCTAGTGATGATTTTTATCAACTTTGACATTTTAAAAAATAATGTAATTTTCAATTTAAAGCAAATGATTTGCGCAAGGTGCAACTGTCTGCATTTCTACCAATGTGTTTTAAACAAACACCTTTTTTACCTACAACAATCGTGCAACTTAATTATCGAAGATACTCATTTTTCTTGGAAATTGCATTTCAAATTCTTGGCTCAGAAATCGGAGGGGGCACGTGCCAGTTTGAGTGGGCATGATGCTTCAAGGGCCCTTGGGGAAACTTCCTAAATAACACTGGCAGTTAGCTATTCACTTCACCTGCTCAATCTCAGTCTCAGCTCGTGATGGCAGGGAACGGGAGAGTGAAAATGTCTCTCCCAGCCTGTGGCTGTCGGTGCATTGCAGCTTTGTGTCAAGACTTCTCATTGCACACGTCTCTGACCACATGAAACAGCAGCTGGGTGAAAACATTCCTGGCTATGCTGTCTTGGCCCAACAGCATGCTTGGACTGGCCTCTGGGTCCGTAGCCAGAGCTTTTCAAGCCTTCGCCTGTATCCGTACTTAGCTATTCTTCTTTTTATATCGCTGGAATGAGAGCTGGACCACACGTCAGAAATTGGCATTGCTGTTGATGTCCCATCTTTTTTTTCCCCCGGCAATTAACTTGCCTTTCCCCCAAGGCAGTTATTGGCCTACATAAAATAAAGATTTTTAATTCTTTTTAAGTAGAGCCTCATGCAGAAAAATCCCACTGTAACTAAAGCGATTTTCACACAGGTTGGAGAAACGCTCATTTCATGGTCATCTGCGTTGTGAGCGATACACCAATTTGAGTTTACAGCTCAAGATTTTAAAGGTCCGAGGAACAAGCAGGCATCCATTACATTCTTTCATTAAAAAACCATCCATATCAATCGTCCTCATTTCAATCTCTGCAATTTTCTCTCTCACTTTTTTCCTACTCTTTTCCTCCTGTCTTATAGGTTAGAGTCATTTACCATTCAGGGAACTGAGCTTAAATCAATTATGGTTTTGTAATACAACACTCACGTTGATGTGGATAAGGATTAGGTGTAAAAGTTGAATCAATAAGCCTGCTGATGTACAGTAAACATCTACTCTTATACTGATTGCTTTTACTGCAGTTGCTCTGCTAGATGACCCATAAAAATTTATAGCCATTTTGTTTGCATTAAAGGATGTGACTTTTATTAAGTTTGAAGAGCGAATAGAGGGTAAGGAACAGTTTGTGTGGTTTCTCACGCTCATTTTTGTACTCTCCAGAATCAGCACACAGATCTTAATCTGAAGGAGTCGCTCTTTGTGGGCGGAGCCCCTGATTTCCGCAAAGTAGCCAGAGCTGCTGCGATCAAAGATGGCTTCAAAGGGGCCATTCAGAAGGTGAGAGCTATTACAGATGCATTAAAGTCATGAATTCTCATTAACATCCCATTTTACTTCCATCAACTGATGTATTTTTAGAGAGAAACAGGATATTCAGTGAGAATAAACCTGAATTTACCCATTGGGAATTAAATGGATAGTAAAAAAATGGATGTTACTTACTAGAATAAAGCCAGAGCCAAATGTGATTTGCTTAAACACCCCCTAAATAGCTGTTTGGCTATTGGTTAACATTGTCCAATAGGCTGTAAGGCCTTAATGGCATCATAGGAAAAGCAAAGTTGTTTCAGAAGAAGCACTAGTTATTATATTTGGGTACAAATTCACAAAGAGAACACATTTTTCATGCGTTCTACTTTAAAATAGGAAATAGGTCTAAAAACATGCATTAAAAATGAAACAGTTTTGACTTAAGAAAATAATTTTGAACTAATTTGAAAATAATTTTGACTTTAAACATCTGTCTCCACAGATTACTCTGATGGGAATTCCAATCCTGAAATCTGATAACGCCCTTCACTCCAGTGATGTGTCCATGTATCCCTACCACCCCTGCTCCAAAGATGTTTGTGAGAACGGAGGCCGCTGCAACCCTCTGTTGGACAGCTACGAGTGCGTCTGCCGCCACGGATTCACTGGACAGCACTGCCAGGACGGTTAGTTCCTTATTTCATCACTTTTTTTAATGCAGAATCGTATTACCCAGTACGGCCTCTCCTCCAACTCCCTCACACTCCTTTAAGGCAAGATTTGCATACGTCTTTTGCATACATCAACATACGACTTACTTAAAAGGAAACGCTCATGCCAGCTTTAGCCAATCTTATGCTCCATATGTAGATTTAGCTAAATCCACACCTCCAAACTTTCACAAATAATACCAGCCATCATCCTTCGTTCCATTTGTATGCTTATCACAAACGCACATTGGCACAGTTGCTAGAAACCCAACAACTTTTGCTCACCTCATTAACCTTGCTGGGTCCTACTGTTGTATCTTTAACCTTAATTAAGCCATACACGCATGAAGCCTGCGATATATCACGCTTTCCTTCTTCGTTTTAATTAAACAGTGCTGTGTCTCACATCAATTGGTGTAATTTCACTCCGTCTTCTCTCCTCCCTTCCAGCAATAATCGAGAAATCTGCTGGGGACACCGAGGCCATTGCGTTCGATGGTCATACTTTCATTGAATATCACAACGGAGTCACCAAGAGGTAATGTCAATGGCCTCCCCGATGATCACGATCCGCCCTGAGCATCCCTTCTCTATATTAGCAGTCAATGAGGGGTGATGGCAAGCTAGATTACTCCGGCCCCATTTAAGGTCCAACGTGCTTCCTCGTTTTAGCTAATGCTTTGATCTCATCAATTACCACTTCCACTGGCCTGTCTCTTTGGTTTTCCATGAACCCTGCCCGGTTCTAATTAGCGTAGCACCCGAAGGAGTCTCATGACTCCACTACGACGTACCACACTTATGCGCTGTAATGAACCTTCCTCCACCATCACTGGGAGCTCAGAACCACACGTCTCCACTACCACACATATCCTAAAGCACCATAGATGGTCATGTCTTGATAATTGCTTCCTTCTTCACTTATCAGATGATTTCTCTTCCTTTGGTTGGTCTGATGTGTCAGCGGTCCAGCAAGCACCAATTTCGTCAACATTTTCTTGGTTTCTAAGAGAAAGAATTCATTTTTAAGCCAATCACAAGTGTTATATATCCTATTGCAATGTCTCCACCAGTGTTGGGGATGCTACTTTAAAAATGTAGCTTTCAAAGCTACTCATATTTTAAATGAGTTAAATTACAGTGAAAATACCCAGTTGAAGGTGTAGATATCTACACTAAAGATTACTAAAAGTAGTTAACTACAATGAAGCTATTTATTTATTTTAGGTCATATATTTTAAAATATAATACATATAGAAATCAAGTGATATCATTTATTTTATCAGGACAATGCTTTCTGGCACAAAGGATCTCAATTAGAGTGACCATATTTAAATTTTTATTAAAAACGCAGTAATTTACACATCCTGATTCAAAAACATGATGAACAGCAGAACTTAGCTAAATATTTGACTAGATTAACTTTAATTGTTTTCTTAAACAGATTCATTTACATGAGCCATCCATTTAAAATGAATTGGTCCTTCCAGTGCCACAGGGAATCTTGATTCACTGATTCACATGAGAGTCCGCATTAGAAAAATGTTAGTACAACTGAGGAATGCACCTCGTACCACTTATTTCACAAACTAGTATTCTGAAAAGGGGTGAATCTCAATACAGTGGCACTCATCTCTGTTATGTGTTATGTGTGTTTGTGTCAATTTGTCTGTCTCTATACACAGCTTTTGTTGTCTTTGCTCTTGTCTGTCTGTCTGTCTCATGTGAGTGTACTCTGTTGTCTTCTTTCTGCTCTCAAGCCAACTGACCAATGAGATCCCAGAGTAAGTAACCCGGAGACATTCTGGGATGGATTTGATTAAGCGAAACTAACATCTTTTAAGAAAACCATCGACTTAACCCAACATAAGACATTAGTTTTTTCCTTGTATTCCCATTTACATCACATTCAGGAAAACATTTTTGAAAAATACAGGGCTCATCTATTATACATAAATATATATTTTTCCAGGAAAGGTTGCATTTTCATCAGCTGCATCAGAAACCAGTTTCAGGAATGCATGCTTGGCATGAATGATGATGAGCATTGTGATACTCTGATAGATTCCCACAGGAATCATGCATGGAAATACCTAAACTGACTTTGGAAATATGTCTGTGTGTATTCTTGTGTTTAAAAAAAATGAAAGCCCTTTTAACTGCAAGTATTATTTGACTTTTTAAAGCACGATGTACATCAATATTTAGTTGGTATATACAGCTGGGTTTAAATGGCATTTTGCCGCCACATTAGGGAAATGTTCAATCTGTTATAGTGTTCCTTTTAGTGATTCTTATTTTAAATTATTTGTTTCCTTCTGAATGTAATTAAGTGTCTAAGTGGCTGCACTGAGCCCTTAAAAACTGGCAGCTTGATTAAATGGAATTATGTTATGTATTATGCTCATGAAAAGTTCCTGCCGGCTTTTAAGCCACGTCACTTTGTTTGTCAAATCGCTCCCAGTGATTTCTAATAATTGTGCCCAAGGATGAAAGCGAAAGTGGCACATTAATCAAGGATTTGTCTCTCAGAAAACTGGACACAATTAAAGAGGCTCCATCCAGTAGAGAGAGCGAGCCACCGCTGACATCAATAACAGTTAGGGACAAGGCCCTCTTCATTGACTTTCACTGTTCTTGGGGTTTAATGCGTGTCACTTCCTGTACAAATGAAGTGCCAGATTAAAATTAATCTCAACCAAGAAAGCTGACCGGCCCTTCAAAATGAGTGTCATCAATTTAGCTTGATCTGGTTTTGAACAGAGCCCTTAAAGTTAATTAATTCCTCAGAGGACGCCGGCATAGTGGCGCCGTATCTGTGAGAGTAGAGTATTATTTCTGTTAGTATTTACTGTGCTCTTCATCTGTCTTTATTCTCTCTCTTTAGCTCAGCAGCCTTGGATCAATTTGCCCATTTTTAACATTTAAGTGTCCTGTTCCTTAATGCCTTTTTTATATAATTGGCCTTTTGACAAAAAGAAGTATCTTGTATTTAGCTTATTCAAAACCTAGTGAGCTATCTTGCTGCCTTCTTAGGAAGCATAATAACTCTCGTTGAACCCTTTAAATGACCAATTTGTAATGCTTTACATAAGCAGGAAATCACATTATATAAATAGAATCTTGACTTGCAGTTGATTTGAGTAGAATTTGACATTAGCATGTTGCTAAGCTAACAACACACTACTAGCATAACAACATAAAACACAGCACACTCAAATGTTTTTTTTTTTACATGCACTGAAGTATTTTTGTTAGTTTTCAGTACTGAATGTAAATTGTCTTGTCCATCATCTTGAGTTCTGTGCACTGAATAGCCTACATATAATGCTAATATTTTACCTTTACAAAAATTAACCATGGTTTTATTATAGTAAAAGTGTAGTAACCGTGGTTTTTGATGTATTGATTACCATTTGTATAACCACAGTTTTACTACAAATACCATGGTTAAACTATTGTTAGTGTAGCAAAACCATGGTTAATTTGGGTTTACCATAGTTTAACAATAGTAACCATGGTTTTTGGTTTTATTTGTAGTAAAACCATGGTTAACTTTCATAAGGGTAGCAAACCAAGTAATTAAATTAAGTGGACCTATGATGCCTTAAAATGCTGGCTCCATAGGCAGCTCACTAGGTTTTGGAATTTGATCGAAAACAACCAGTCTTTCAAGCATATACTCACTTAGTTGCTCTTTTTCTTACTTTCTTGCTCTCTTGACTGGTTGAGAATGATGGAATTGTTGATAAATTGCAGTAACTCAACCATGTGACAGCGCAGAACAATAAAACAGCATGTCAGTACCACTGGTACCACCGATAAAGTCTTCCAGTGTTATTTCTTTGCCTAGGCTGGCATAACAACTGAAAGACTAGAATAATTTAGTGAGGTCACTCCAGCTTCTTGGCGCAGGTCTCCTTGTCTGTATGTTATGCGATCCCTGTTCTTCCCCTCCGCCCTTTTGCACTTATTGCATGCCTATCATTTCTTCCCTTGCTCCTCTAAGCCCTGAGTCACTGGAGAACCCATCTGACCAGAGGTGAGTCCCCTCTGCCTGAACTGTTTCCAATGGCATGCCGTCCTCCCACACTCAGCCACCCTGCAGAGGCTAAAGGCCAGGGCTTTTGTCAGGTAGCACGTCGCAGCTTGCACTCTGAAATCATTTGTAATACACAAGCCTTGATAGAATATGTGGAGTTTTTCCATTTTCTTCGCTGATTTTGGGGCAAAGCATGCAGAATTCTGCAGGATTACTTTTAATATGTGACATGCTCTATCATTTTGAGTTGTAAGTTACAGTGAATATACATGATTAAAAACTTACAATCCTAAAAAAGGAGTAGTTTCCACAGAAATATTAAGCAGCACAACTGTTTTCAACATTGATGAATAATAAGTACATTTTGAGCACCAAATCAGCATATTAGAATGATTTCTGAATGATCATGTGACACTGAAGACTGGTCACTAATGGCTGCTGAAAATTCAGTTTAGGATTAAATAACATTATATAAATGTCATAAAATATTAGAGAGTTATTTCAAATTGCAATATTACCTCACAGCATTTCGGTTTTTACTGTATTTTTGAGTTGGTGAGCATAAGAGACTTAATAATAATAATGATAATAATCAACAACCCAAAATGATGGAGCAGTATGGTAACATATTAAGCAGAACAAATGTGCTAATGCAAAAAAAAACATCTAGCTTGAGTTCTGTGACTGCAGATTCTTTGTGGACCTGCTAAGATGTTAGAAACAGGTACAGTATTTAATGACTATTCCCATGTGAGCCACTGTCCCCTAGAGGTGGACAGCATAAACCACTCTAATCACTTAAATTATGAAAAAAAAAATGATGCACCGCCCTATTACACAAGCTGCTGCTCTCAAGATTTTTTAAAAGCAAAATACTCAAAATAGATCTGTTTCTTTGTAAATGGAATCTAGCTTTAACGACTTAAGCCCTACTTCTCTTTAGAATGTTCTAGATACTTGAGATCCTAATGGGACGTGAGCAATAATGAGCTCAGCAGAGTGGTGTATAATCACAGTTAGCTGCCCTGATGCCGTAGCTCTGGCCTGGGGCCGCGCGAAGGGAAGGCCTGTGGAAAGAGTCCAGTCAGCACATTACACGTGTCTCATCGGGAAAGAATTCAATTACAGCAAATAATTATTCAGCTTTACGCCGTCACAGGCTCATCAACAGCATTAGCATAATGAAATTCTGTCTTTTTAATCAAACAAATTAAGATATGTTATTTCCAATTCTCAAGTCGTAAGTAGAGCTGCTAATATTGTGATTTGAAATTTGACTTGTCAGTCGGGCATATAGTGTCTGTCTTCAGATGAATCGTTCCACGAGACAACACGTTTTGTTGGACTGGACTCTTTCTAGGTTCCATTCTCGAAAAAGAAAAAAAATGCACCTGCGGCTTATTTATTCACCCAATTTTCACTTTGATAGGAAACACAAATACAAACAATCTCACAAATAAACAGCATCGGTGATATCACAGATTGCACACCGTGGAGAAAGTGTTTCTATTCGCCGCGATGTGGTGTGAAGATGAGCGCGCAGTCGCCATCTGCTTTCTTTTCTTCTGTGTATCGTGTCCGTTCTCTTGTTCCTCTCCGTTTTGTCTTTGTCTTGTCTGTGTCTTTATTCGTGTTGTTGTCACTTGTCTTACTCCTGTTTACACGTTACCTGATTTAGCAAACAAGCCCCCACACTCTCGCTATTCTGTCTCACAAACGCGCTTGCTTTCTAAAATAATGGCTCTCTTGATGTCACGACTGCAGGTACACCACTGAGAACAAAGGAATTGTTGTAAAAATAGCCGCTTTTTTTTCTGTGGCGTATCTGTGCAAAGGGGGTAGAACGCGAGATGTGTTGGTTTCAATCGGCTCCCCGATGACCTGAACAATAGCTCGCTCCGAGTGACACTGTCCTCCCTGAGGACGGGCAGATGTCAACTTCTTTATGCCTTACAAGGGAGGGATGCATCCAGGGAACCAGATCAAAACACACATCAGACGGCAGCTGATATGGGCATCCTTCCTTAGCACTCACTGCGCAGGAAGAGAAAATCTAGAGCTTGAAGGCAAAATAGGAAGTGTTAACTTAGAGATAACCTAAAGTGTGTCACACATACGCCCTTCCCCCATCAGCGTGGCCTAGTTTACCTAGTTTCACAGAGACCCACAAGTGTTCAGTCCGCTCATTAGTTTATCAAACCCTCACTGGGTTTTTGACTGTATCGAAGTTATGTTTTCACCCATAATTCTGTTATTGTTGTTGTTAAAGTAGCAGGTAAGTCAGGGCTTCATGCACGTCCTGCGGTTTACACGGCGTCTCTGAAACGGCAATGGAATTGTGATAGCATTTCCTGTCTCTCTTTGATCTAGCGAGAAGGCCCTGCTGGTGAATAAATTTGAACTGAGCATCAGGACTGAGGCTACTCACGGTCTGATTTTGTGGAGCGGCAAGGGAGTGGAGCGATCCGATTACATCGCCCTCGCAATTGTGGACGGCCGTGTGCAGATGACCTATGACCTTGGCTCCAAGCCTGTGGTGCTGCGCTCCTCTGTACGGGTCAACACCAACCGCTGGATACGAATCAAGGCCAGCAGGTAAAACAGTGAGAGTTATTCCATCATCGCCTCAGGTTTGACATAGAGTAGTTGCAGACATTTACAGGGCTCAAGAGAAAGGATTTTTTCTGCTTGTCCTTTCAAGCCAGTAGTTCAGATTTCTACTTGACCTGCCAACAACTTTATCGGCCCTCAATAACAATTATACATTTTAGATTATATATTAAACAGAATATTTATTAAGTTATTTTAAATTGTAATAGTATTTAACAATTTTACAGCTTTTACTGTATTTTTGATCAAATAAATGCAGCCCTAGTGAGAATAAAAAAAACTTTCAAAAACATTAAAAACTCCCACCAACACCAGCTTTTCTGAATGGTACTCTATATTCTTAAAAATAGTTTTATAATAAATATTAAATAATAAAAAAACATACATTTTAAATGTGAACATTTAAAATCACAAACAAACATAAAATTAAACATTAACAAAATAATAATATATATATATATATATATATATATTCTAAAATTGTTAATGTTTAATTTTATGTTTGTTTGTGATTTTAAATGTTCACATTTAAAATGTATGTTTTTTTATTATTTAATATTTATTATAAAACTATTTTTAAGAATATAGAGTACCATTCAGAAAAGCTGGTGTTGGTGGGAGTTTTTAATGTTTTTGAAAGTTTTTTTTATTCTCACTAGGGCTGCATTTATTTGATCAAAAATACAGTAAAAGCTGTAAAATTGTTAAATACTATTACAATTTAAAATAACTTAATAAATATTCTGTTTAATATATTTTAAAATGTAATTCTTGTGATGGCAAAGCTGAATTTTCAGCAGTTATTACTCCAGTCGTTGTGTCATATGATCCTTCAGAAATCATTTTGATATACTGATTTGATGTTCAATAAACATTTCTTCATAAACAAATGTCAATGTTGAAAGCAGCTTCTGCTTAATATTTTTGTAGAAACTGTGATACATTTCAGGATGCTTTTATAAATAGAAATAAAAAAAAAACAGCATTTATTTGAAATAAACTTTTATTTCCTTAAAAAAATTCTTACTGACCCCTTACTTTTGAATAGCAGTGTATAAATGCCTTTTTTAATCAAATGTTTAGATTTCTTCATTTAAAACAAATTTAATCCAATTTAGAAATGCTTGGAAAATGCTGAAAAACAATGCATAGCAAAACATACTGATTGCTTTATCATTTTCAACCAATTCCTACTGACACTACAGTACAATTTCTATCATTCTTAAATTTCAACAAAGCCTCATTTATAAAAACAATAATTTTACTTAGCTGCAAGGCATAAAATTAATTGTCAACTTTCCCAAAACTCTCTTACATCGACCCTGGAACAGCTGGCCATCCTTATTATTCAGCCCTTATTTACAGTATATATGACACAGTTTGCCATATAACTGTTTGCTAGCAATGATGAACATTTATATTTATCACAGACTAGTTTTGCCATAGAAATGTTTACCAGCAGTGGCAGTCATTCATATTTGCCTCAGGCGTGCCAGACAATTATATTTACCACAAATTTGCTGTAGACATTTCTCAATGGTGGCATGTTATTCAAAGCTTGCTGCAGGTTTATGACTGCAAGTGAAAAGCTGCAATCTTTTTTTTTCCACATTACTACAATTTCATTTGCCACAAATTTAGTGCATATTAACCGCAAGCTTGCCAGAAGGCCAATCTTCCAGAAATGTGAGGGAAAATCACGTTCAATGTTAATGCTGAGCTGTGACTCACTATCTTCCTGTACTTCTCTATTCTCCACAGAGCGCTCAGAGACGGCTCGCTGCAGGTTGGTAATGAGGCAGCTGTCACTGGGTCATCACCCTTGGCGGCCACACAGCTGGACACAGACGGCGCTCTCTGGTTGGGTAAGTCTTTGCTCAATCGTAGCTCATTTACAAACCGACTACGTACACCTGCTCCGACACACCGAATATCAACAGTCCCCTCTTAGCTTGTAATGTCTAATTGGATCTTCCCCCACAGCAAGTGCTTTTGAAGAACTTACCCCAGTGACCCCTGAGCATCTCTCAAAAACATCCATGTTAAAACACAATATTGCCTTATTATGGTTAATTAATAATTCCAGGATGAGTCTTTACTATAGGGTGTTTTAAAAAGTGTTTGCCTTCTCTTTCTCTTTTGACAAACCTATAAACTGCTCTGGGTGTGTGTTCACGGTGTGTGTGTGTTCACTGCTGTGTGTGTGCACTTTGGATGGGTTAAATGCAGAGCCATACTTGGCCACATTCACGTCATTTTTTAAGATTAAAAAGGAGGATTTATTCCATTTTAAGGGTGCAAAATCTTCTGCGAAAAGTATTTCAGCACAGGCCAGCCAGTAGAACAGGTGCTGTGGATGCCCGGTGGCTAGAATACATTATGCTTAGACAGCCCGAACATCAAGAGCTCCCTCTGAAAATCCCTTCTTTCAAATGTCATTATTTATTTACTTATTCAGATGTAATTCACTTGAAATTAGCCCTGTCAATCCTCCCGTCGCAAAGCATACAATCCGATTACAGGGGAAACACGCGGGAAGGCGAAACGAAGAGAGAAACGTGAGTGAATTGCAACAGAGGGAGACATTTTTCGCCGTGCTCAAAGAGCAGGAGACGGAGCTGGTTTTTCGACAGTGTCAGATCCCCGAGGGAGGCGAGCGTAACTCTCTCTCGGAAAGCTGTCAGGGAACGTCCCCAGAGCCTGGCCTCCCAAAAACACTGTTTGATCTCCTCACCTGTTCCTGAGTGTTGTGTCTCTATCGTTCTTCATTCTGACACCCCCACGTTACACCTTCAGAGTCTCAGGCGTGATTAAGATTTTAACAGTCTTCTACACAGGGTTTCCATAAGCCACAGACTGTTCATCGGCCTTTAATAATATATAGTGCTGTAGCTCGCCTGCATGGCGGGTAATATCTCAGGTTACACAAAGATGTGCGTTTATACTATGGGTCAGTGACATACAGTACAGTACGAGTGTCCATGGTTTAAAAAAAGTACAAATTGTTGTAATTGTACAGTTTTGTGATATCTTGCTAAAAAGACATTTCTTAAAGTTATTAAGACTTGTTATCTTTGTATTCATGTTTCATGAAGTTTTAAGAAATATGTATATACAAATATTATAAATAAAGTACAAATATTTTCTTTACACCATGTATGCATTTGACTATACCCACCTTTAAAAATCAAGATAAAAAGAATTACTTATAATTATCATAAATTATTAATTCACAAGAAATAAATATATAAAATATAAATACATACATACCTATATATACTGTGTATATATATATATATATATATATATATATATATT